GGATGGCAAGGAGGGAGTTTTGAGAGACGATGACTCACCCATAGAGCGATAGCTAGCTAGCGTCTCTTCTACAGGGGACATTCTCTCATAGCTGTTTTCGCGCATCGCCTCGATGTTCGCATAACTGGTATGCTGAAACCGATGGATGCGTGAGGAAAACGGCCTCTTCCATTCCTTCTCGATCTCAGTATGGAGATCAGGAAGGAAAGGAAGGCTCACCTGAGCTGGAGGGTTATGGCCAGAAAGAGTACGTTCCTCGAGACGACCTCGCGACGTCACTTCCTTAGTCCGCTTCCACGGCAAGTCAAGCCTTGCCGTGGCGCGTTCCATAACCTCTAAGAGCTCATCATACGCAGGGCAGGAGGATTGAGAAGGCTCAGCCTCAGCTTCTTCGCTCTCTTCATCCATTTCCTGCTCTTCCTGGGCTGGACTCAGCAGAGCACTGGCCCCTGGATCAGATGATGTTAAAGAGACAACATCATCCTCCAGCGGCTGTCTCTCGCCCGCCGCCGATGAGCGTGAGAAGGAAAGCCCCTCTCTAAACTCATCGGCCAGGTCCACCTGAGATCCCCACGAGCTCATTCTCCTCTGTGGGCTGAACCCAGCAGAGCACTGGCCCCTGGATCAGATGATGTTAAAGAGAGAACATCATCCTCCGGTGGCTGTTTCTCGCCCGCCGCCGATGAGCGCGAGAGGGAAAGCCCCTCTTTAAACTCATCGGCCAGGTCCACCTGAGATCCCCACAAGCTCATTCTCCTCCGTGCCTCAGCAGCGGCGGGTTCTGAACTGTGGGAAGCAGATGGCTGCCCCTCTTTACTCGAAAAGAGAGACAAACGAGAACGGAGCTTTTTCATTGGAAAAAACTCGCAATGCACGCAGATTGCCCCCTCGAGGACATCGCGTGCGTGCTCTTCGCCCAAACAAACAACACATAGATCGTGTGTGTCATCTGGTGTCAAATAGCGATGACACGGATGCACACACCTTCTAAATGCTCTGCTAGTGCTCGCCATAATAAATAGAGATAGATCTTACTTTTTCCTTGGAAATGCACGCTTCAAACAGAACAGTCAATGAAGACGAAGAAGAGAATGATGTGTGCTCCCGGCGCCTATTTATACTATAGTCGCACCGGTAGTGACGTCATGGCTGTCGCCGGCTAACGAGTTGTTTTTTTTTCAATGTATGCTTCAGACACGGGTCACGACGAGGCGTTCCCTATAGCGACCCCTAGAGGATGCAGTTCGAAGTTCCCATGAAAGGGAACTAACAGTATATTAATTATTTGGATGGTATCATCAGTATAATGACTTCAAGGATACTTGGTGCACATTTCTTGACTCTCTGTAATGCGCAAGTTAGACCACAAGAGGGACTCCTTACAGTGATATGTTACATGTTAAAGTGATACAAATGTGATACAGAGAAAAGAATTCCTTAACCTGTTATCCAAATCAAGTTATTAAACATACATACAAATACGGCATACAACTCAATAACAACTATGTTAATAATATTTACTAAAATATTGGTGTGAAATGATATCATTTAATAACTAGGATAAAGGCAGAAAAAAAAATACTAAAGACAAATAGACCCCTTGATTCACAATGCCCCAGACATTCTTATATTACAAAACCAAAGGCTGACTCTCTCAAGGCAGACTTTAGACACTGACTTCAGTCAGCATCACTGACGAAGGGGGGTCTCCTGAATCAGAACTTTGAGTAATCCCGAATTAGCACATCAGCATGTCTTATATGGTAAAAAAGTCTACGTAACCCACGGCACATTGTGACTCGTATGACTGCAGGATCCCTCATGCATGTTTTGGCTGATATGCAGACAAACGACCCACACATGCCCTCGACGCAGCCTTTGATGATGTCACAACCCCAGCTGTCTGTCTCACTAAGAATCCCAGACATCTGTCCTTGGTCAATTAAACAGGAAGTTAGCCTTCCGGGCACTTCCTGGTGAATCTGCGCACAACATGTGTTGCATGTTGTAGCAGTAAAGGGAAGCGTGGAGTACTTAACGCGCACTGCTTCAAAGTGACGTCAAGACGTTCTTTCTTCAAGGGAACTGTTTAAATGAGAAGAAAACTGAAGTTCTCTGAAAATTACCACTGGTAATCTCCAGTTGACCAGAATTGACTAATACATTTATGAGGAGCTGCTGTGTCACCGCAAAACTCTTGAATACTACTATAATAATTCAGTTTGACAATTTGCCGGACTTGAATTTTGTGAAATGTAATCATGTTTTAGAGGGTTCGTAATACAGAAGTGTCTTGCATTTAAGAACAGCAAGACTGTGAAAACTTACAAATGAATGAACTTAGTCACTTAATAGCTAATCACACTTGTCATGTCTGTCAAGCAAATTGTACTACGTGCACCGTAAACCCTGTAGAGGGAAAGCTGCTCTGCCCTACAAATAGAACAATTAAAAAAAAAAAAAAAAGGAAACGTAAAGGGCGGGGGGGAGAAAGGAGAGGGAGGGAGAAAGGAAGAGGGGAGGGAGCGAGGGAAGTATAATTACTCTGTAAGAGAGAGGAGTAGAAGTAGAAACAGAGAGAGACAGGGGAGCTAGAGCCAGTGAGAGCGTCCAGCCCACTTCTACAAAACCATTCAACTCCTGCACAGTGAGCAGTCCCAGACCTCTTGCGAGCACACTGCTTCCCTGGGGCACATCCAGAAGTCGACGGCTGATCCTATACAAACTTCCCAAGGACCTGGAGAGGGAGAAAGCCACTGACAGATCTATTCCGACCAGCATCTCTTCTCACAACTTACCAGCAAGGATTACATTTTTCCTCACTCTAGTAGTTTAGCTCTTACTTTTTTGCTCCTCTCAAATTTTGGTCAGATTGAGCTCATCCACAGGCAGACAGGACAGTCCTTGTCTTACTTTGAAAGGAACTTTTAAAGTAAGTTGTTCATTTTGCAACCCGGTACAAACACCCTCCAGCTCTCTTCAGCAACTGACACTTTTCATTTAAGGATGTCCCCTGTTCTGAGCGGGATCTTCCTGCTGCTCATCCAGACCTGCTCCCTCAGTGCCATGGTCACCAAAGGGAGCCTGGCAACATCCGAACAGGCAGCCACAGACTGTCCCTCCTGTGCCCTGGCGCGGCTTCGAAAAGGAGAGGGTGAGGACGAGGGAGCCCAGCAAGACGTGGTTGAGGCGGTGAAGAGACACATACTTAACATGCTGCACCTGCAAGAGCGCCCCAACATCACACACCCGGTGCCTCGAGCTGCGCTCCTCAATGCCATTCGCAAGGTACACGTGGGACGGGTGGCCAAGGACGGCAGTGTCCTGATTGAGGACGAGGCCAGCAGCCGTCAGGACACCGAACAGGCAGAACAGACAGAGATCATTACGTTTGCTGAAGCCGGTGAGTCCAAATTTCTAACAAATGTCTAGAGAATTAGCTTAGTCCTTAAATACTTTAAAGTAAATCGTTCGGTCTTCCCTCGAGGGATGAAACCGGAGGGGTGGGTTAATAAAGCTGTTCAACGTAAGTCTGAGGAGTTCAGGGAAACCTGTTGCCACCGCACAAAGTCAGAGCAGTTAGAAATAAGCTGCGGCAATTCACTCCCCCTCTCTCAAGGTTCCTGCAAACCTCCTGCTGGTTTAGAGAATCAGTAATTATCTGCTAGGGCCCCCCAGGCTTCTAGCCGTAAGCTCTACACAGGAGCACTTCCTTGGGGACTGACAGTCTCCTATGTAGCTTCCCTATGTGACTGAAGAGGGCTGAGAGAGAGATAAAAAAAATCATAACGCATAGGAATAAAAAAGGACTTCTCCGTATTATAAGAGGGAAAAGAAGGCTGTTCAGTTACTGCCTTTGTGTTGGGTTTCAAAGGCAGTTGAAAAAGCATTGTCGGCAGCAATGAGAGCTGTTCAAAGGTGCTGTCAAGCCCATGATGTGAGGAGAGATTGGGTTCTTCTCCGAGTCATGCAGCTCAAATGGGTCATGAGTGACACAGAGCCGCGGCGTGCTGCAGGAGCTCTCAACAGATGTGTCAGACCTAAAAAGCAGCAAAAAGAGCAATTGGATTGCTTGTCTGAAAGATGAATGTTTCATGATTTTAGGGAGCTGAGACTGTAACACTGCGGCCTTGTGGAGAGAATGAATATTTAGAATGACATTATAGGTATAAAAACGAATTATGCATTTTTAAAATGGAATAATAAATATACAAGAGACATGATGTAAAGTAGAGTAAGAAAATAAATCCTTTAAGACAAGCTGTCACATGAAATAATCCACTCGCTGGAACTAATGAAATATACAACAATATGCAGGATTCCCCACACGTTTTTTCCCCCACCACTTTTTTTCTTCAATGAGTCATTCATGACTACTGCAAAAGTGTTTTCAAAATCATTTTATACAGATGCATTCACAAATAGCAATTAGAGTGAAAATTTTCATTCGCTGCAGACATTTCCATGACTTTTTAAAATCTTCCACATCTGGAAATTTAAAATGCACTGATTTTTCCAGGTTTTTCATGATCATGAGAACCCTGTTTATGAGAACCATTCCCTGATAATCTTTTGGTGCCAAGACTAAAGCAAGTCACATTACAAAACTTGAACTGTCACTCAGGCTGAATGGATAAATCAGGATTACAAGCTCTCATTCAACTGCTCACATTGCAAAATGTTAAATTATGACCAGTACGGGCACAAACCAAGCACATGGTACATCATAGCTCAATTTCTGTGGACAGCAATCAGACTTTCAATGATATGTCTGGCTCCATCACTCATCTTTGACATTTCAAACACACCAGAAGAACTAAAGACACCCACATAAATAAATATAATACTTACCTCATACTTCTCATCATAAAGGTGAATTAGACTAAATACAAGGCTGTAAATAGTACAAAATAAGTCGTTTGATGGTCTTATTTTTATAATAAACAGTGGGTGGAGTGTTTGCATTATTGAAATTATAGTTTGAGACTGCAATACTTTCTGTCAGGTGATAATTTCTTAAACACGATTCATAATCAAATCTGACCAAACCAAAATACATACATCATCTCCCCTTATGTTCACTTACGGGCTTTTGTTACAAATGAAAGGCAATCATAAGCGTGCAAAAGCATCCATCACCTGCTTCTGCCAAACCATCGCAGTGTTGTCGCACAGAAACCTCGCGATAACTGTTTCTTAGCCGAGCTCGTGCCTCGTGAGAATTCCCGCTCGAATTCCATTCTCGCGTCTGGCATGAAATGCCGGGTTCAGTTGCATCTGAGCTGTTTCCAAAAGTATTCAAAATAGAGCTGTTCTCCAAATCCACCACAAAGGGGAATGCAATAAAGCTTGATTGCAGACCCTCGCAAATAAGCATTAGTAGTGATTTTTTTGTGTGTATATATAGGCTAATATATATATATATACAGTATATATAACTTTTTTCCAAAAATGGATGCACAGCGCTGCTTCTTAACATTTATAACGTCAAAGCGTATACCAAGGCCCCTTTACACAGGCTATGCTTTTTTTGCAGTTGTAGGCTACTTATGCTGAAATTGTTTTCATACTTTGTTTTGTTCTTTTGTTTTTCATAAAAAGTACACTAGAACTGTCCATACATTAAATAATGCATTATGATTAATCTCAAAATGTGATGCTGAAGTTCCTACTGAATTTGTTACTGTGCACATTTCCTACTTGCACCTCAGAGTTAGCATGTTAATAATTCAAGTATTTCAGTATAACAATGCAAATAATACAATTATAACATTTTGCGGCCCTTGAAAGTTTATTGAGGCTCCTAGTTGGGCCAATTCCAATGTTGCTGTTCAAGCATCATTTAGACTGCAATGTGGCACCATGTGATATTTTTTGGCTTTGGCATCAAAAGCAGAGACATAACTGTAATTAGATTGATTTTCTAAATACTGTAATGCATAGTTGTGCATGGTGCTTATTTCATACTGGTTTGGTTTTTAAGACACATGTTGCTGCACTGCATCACTGTAATGTTGCATTAAGTGGGTTGTTTAGACAACTGTAATTATGTGTATGATGTAAGTCTCAGACTTCTGCATACACTATCTGTCTGGAATCTTGTCCAAGAATATGTTCTCATAATTGCCACACATACAGGTAGACATACACATATCTTATAAAGCCATGGAATATAAGTATATGAAGTAACAGCATTTAGTAGGCCACTATTCATGAATGATCATAGGCTGATTTTTTTTTTTCAATAATTCAGAAGGTTTATTAAAATTAAAGCTATTTAATGGTTGTTTATAGATATCAGTTTTCTTTGCATGTCTGTTGTCCTCTTAAATTGTGTGCTGGTTAGGTTCAGAAATCACATTGATGAAGATATCATTTGGCAGATACAAGGACCGCAGAACCTGAGGCATACTGCATTTATTGTAGGACATACTTGTTTAAATCATTATCTCTAACATGCAGCATTCTGGCTGAATGAGCGCTACATGGTAAGACTGATTACTCTCAGTTTAAGTGTGTAGCCTGAAGGCATGAGCAATCAGTGCTTGTGTATTTAAGCATTACTGCAAATAATTAATAACTTTAGTCTGCAGACTTTCAGGCAGTAGCAAAGGGTAAGAAATAACAGCATTTTAACTAATAAAAACACTAACAAGTGCTTTTTAAAGCAACCATATGTAAAGAATTTGCTCTTTCCTTGACATGTCACTATTACTGCTAAACCTTGAGAGTGCACCAGAGGTCATTCATAAAATGTGGCCAAACCTTCTGCAAAAGTTTATTTTCCATCAAAAGTTACAAAATGGATAGCCTTTGCTTCCAAACCAAAGTTAATGATTTAAGAAATGCAGAGACTTATAAATAGTATGTACCATGTTAACTATTCTTTGTCATTGAATTCCACTGAAGCCATGTTCAGAATCTTCAAACAGAAGGCCCGTTGATGATATCACTGTGGATGCTGTGAATGTGTGTGGGCGTTCAGTGTTTGGCCTTTCTGATGTCATTCAGGCGTGCAGGTTGCATATGCAAAGCTTGACATGTTCTGAAACAATGACTCAATATTTACTTTGTTTCCTCGTTTTGATCTCCTCCTACTTGCAAAGCAATTTATCACAGGGAAAGCCCTATAATCACTCCCTCCAGAAATGGTTACAGCAAAGGAAAGAAGATGTCCCAATTGTTCATGTGCAAGCAGTTATTTTTGCTAGATCAAACACTGATTTCTTGTCTGATGACATCTGACTTCCTTCAAGATCTTGCGAAATAATACGAAGAATTACTATTTAAAGGCAATAGAAATAAAATAGTAAGTATCTTATTTTGGGGCTACACTGTCAGCTTGCTAAACCTTACATATTACAAAGCCGCAAAGTATCGCCTTTAAACACAATCCAGATTCGAAGACCACATTAGAAAGCCTCCTTGTTAGCCGAGGATCCCTTAGCATTAGTGTGGTCAAATAGGTTTCTCAGGTTGCAGGATACTTCGCTGCTCGTGACATTTTGTAATATGCTACTTAAAGCTTTCTTGGCTTCAAGGTACAGTACTGTAGTGAAGAAAGGATGCTGCAGCATCATGCCAACTATGCTCATTTATTACTTTGACAGCTGATGAATCATCCAAACCTGTTCGTGAGAGTGGGTTATTACTTGCAGATGTGAGCTTGGTAGAAGAGTAGCGAGCATCTCAAACCTACATCCAACCTTGAATCCTGAAAAATCAATCAGATAAGTAAGATATGAATTGCAACTATCCATATAGATTGTCCCTCTTGTTTTGTTAAATCGCAGTCTTGAAAGTGCCCGTCCTTCAGTTATGCAGCATGGCCTTGAGCCATGTTCTGTGGATTCTTACCAAAGGTTAGTAGGGGGAGGCAGCAGTAACTCTCCTCGTTACCCTCCTGGTTCCCTGGGAGCTGCGCTGGCCTGCAGGGGCTGTCTGAAGCTGGTGATTCTTTGCCACTGGATGGGGTGCCTGACTTAGATGGGAGCAGTAAATCAGACCCGCTGTTGGTGCCTGAAATGCCTGTGGGTGATGAGGACCAGATAAAGAGGGAACAAGGCAGTTTGGGGAAGAACATTACAAGCATGCTTGGCCTTTAAGGCGCAAGGTGTGGTATCGTGATGTGGCTCGCCGGTGTTAGTGACACTCGCCGGAGAATGTATACAAGACTCTACAGTGTTATGGTTGGGAAATAAGGTTTAATTGCACTTTTTGTTTGTTTGCTTCTCATGCTGGGATGTAGAAAAGGCCATGAATGCCGTTGCAGCAACATTCTAGTGGTTTTCTGGTCTGTTCAGCGACATTATAATGTCAGAGGATGTTTTATGATCGCAGTGTAGATCTCTGTTGTATATTTTCTCTTGGAGTACCTCGGCTGCATTTTTATTGGGTTTATTATCTGATTTGGATCTGCTTTATAATCCAGATGATAACTGATTATTGTTTGAAATATATGAATACCACATGATACTACGGCTCACAGTATGCTCTAGCGCAAGAGTTTAGTCTGTGAAATCCATCCTCCCTGCTGACGGGACTGTGTTTGAAATATGTTGCATAACAGGCGAGGAACTCATATCATTCACTCCCACACACCATTAAAAGAGTCATATTTTCACCTTCAGACTTTTATTTCTAATTTAATATGTTGTTAGGTCAAAGAAGAAAATCGGTCAAGAATCTTTCATTCCTGAAGGGATCCAGAAAGTGTTCGCATGTTAGCACCTAGCGTCCTTCCCTTATAGTGTTTCATGTAAGAACTAGCCATTGCTGAGTTGTCAGCAAGACCTAGGGAATATACATCAATGAACGAATGCTTCATTCCACCTGATTCATTAAGCACCTGTTCGCACTATGTTCTTTGAACTAGCATATGTGATCTGCACGGAAAACCTGTTGCCTTTAATCAGCATTGTCAACAAATTAGTCAAAGATAAATAGCGCATTCTATAAGAGTTAACTAGGAAGAGTACAAACAAACTCCATCCAAAGAGGCGTGTTTCAACAACCTTTCAGGTTGCGGACTTCTTTACTGTAAAAGCATTCTTTGAGCTTCAAGCACTGGGGCATTGCAAGCCATACAATATGACAGGAGGCCAACAAGGAGATGAAAGAAACTGATTCCCCCTAAGGTAAACCAGATAGAAAAGGGGATTATAGAGCACATTAACTAAAGCCATGTTTAAAGAGGAGTGGACAACCCTCCTC